AAAAAAAAAAAAAAAAAAAAAAAGCTTAACAAGCAGCAAAGAGGAATGGGAATGCTGGTCTGGGATCCATTATCCCTGACCCAGAGGTTGGAAAGCAAAAGAAATTCATTAAATTGGGGAGGGGGGAGGCCAGCGGGGCTGGGTGCCAGTGGCCAGTCCATGGGGGGTGCCCGGGGGGTGTCACCCATCCCCTGTCACCCATCCCCTGCCACCCATCCCCTGCACAGGGAGAGGGATCCAGCCCTGCCAGGGAAATGGGGGAAATGTGGGGATGGGCACGGAAAAATCGCTGGGGAAATGGGAGAAAAATCCGGGGGAAAAAGTCCATGGAAAATGAGGAAAAAATCTGTGGAAAAATGAAGAAAAATCTGTGGGAAAATGGGGGAGAATCTGTAGGAAAATGGGACAAAGTCTGTGGAGAAATGGGGCAGAATCTGTGGGAATCCAGCCAGGGCTGGATCCACTGGAGAAGGAGCAGCTTGGAAGGAAAATCCACTGGAACCAGGAGGGAGCCCCGTGCAAATTCACCCTGGAACCCAGGGGAGAAGGGGAGGGAGAATTCTCCTCTCACAGCCCTGGATCCCGGGGATGGGGATCAGCCATAAATTCACCCCAAAACACAAATAAATCCCAGGACTCACCTCATTCCTCACCTGCCACCCCATTCCCACAGGAGCTGCCTTGTCCCTGCTGAGCCACACCAGGGCAGGCACTGGGGCTCCTCCTTTTTTTTCCTTTTTTTTTTCCCTTCCAGAAAAAATAAAAACCACAGTGAAGCTCCTGCTGGTCATTCAAGAATTGTTTGCTTTAATCCTTTTCCAGGAACACTCTCCCAGTGGTGCCCAGGTGGTCAAAAAGGTGGGAAAAAAAAAAGATCCCTCCTGGTTTGTTTTCCCCCGTTTTTGTTTCAAACCCTCATTTGGATGCTTTTGGCAACACCAACATCTCCCCCCGAACCAATCATGGTTATTTGATTGCCTTTTTTTTCCCCAATTCCAGAGGAATTCCTGAATGGAGCAGCCTGGCAAAAGAAATCAATGAGTGAGGTGAGAAAAAGCAGCTCACAAAGCAAGTGGGTGAATTGGCTGGGAATCTTCTGGAAAATCAACGTGAACAAGGATATGGATAAAAAACAGAGAGGCAGGAGATTTTTGGAATCTCCTTTTGGAAGATTCCAACATTTTTTGGAATTTTTTTGGAAGGGAGCTGCCTGTTCTCCCTCTTCCCAGCTGGTCCCTCTTGTCCTGGCCATGCTTTTCCATCAATCCTTCACGGGATAAGGCCAATTCCTGTCCTCAAAGAACTTCCTGAGGCCCTGCAGGCTGACAGGGGGGAAATAGGGGCCGATCCTTTTCCGGATCCACCACTTCCCATCGCTGGCGTGCTTCCCCCAGGGCTGGCTGAACTTGTACCTGAAGTGTTCCCCTCTGATCCACCTGTGGAGACAAAAAACAGCAGCTCAGGGCTTGCCATGGCTTCTGGGAACAGCTGGAACCGTGTGTTCATTCCCTTGGGATTGGTGTTTTGGAGC